CATCTCTGGGGGTGGTGTAGGACCTGGTGACCTGAGATTCTGGCCAGAAACCCTAAGCATAGTCTCCTGGGTGTGTCCCAACCATCTGATGTGGGGAAAGCTCCAAAAACCAGATGGGAGAGGTGGCTCTAGACCTCCCAGCCCCTGGGAAGAGCCAGGCTGAGCCTTATAAAGAGACTGCTCTTTGTCCAAACACACAAATGTCACTCATCCTTCTCCTCATGACACTTCCCAGCTCCGATAAGTCTCATCTACCTCTCTGCCTTTTCTAGCAGTGCCCAGTGTCTGGCCTGCCATTCACTTTCTCCTGTAGGAGGAAAGAGGACTGTGGATGACGACTCAGGAGCCTGAGTCTAGGCCCAGCTCTGCCACCAGCCGGGCTGAGTGACCTTCACTCGCGCCCGAGAGCCCGCATCTGTACAACCAGGTGGCTGGACCAGACCTGTCCGTTGCTCCTTTGGGATCTCCTGTGACAACTCCTGTGGTCACAGGAGATCCTGAGCACACAGGATCCTGTGTGGTCCTGAGCACAGGACCTTCCCTGTCTTCTTCCTCCCTGGATTCATCCTCCTGTTGGGGTCTGGGGTACTGAATCCCCTCCCCAAGTCTGCCCCCACAGAGGGCTAAGAGTCCCCTGAGAATGCCTTGGAGGCTCCTTGAAGCCCCAGGCCTGGGACCTCCACACATCGTAGCCCTGGTGAGATGATCTGCCCCTACCTGGGTAAGGTATTGAGCAACCAAAGCTCCCTCACTCCCTATTACAACCTGCAAATTCTCAGTCACCCTCTGGACACGGGGCTCAGCCCCTGGCCTTGGCCTCAGATTCAAAAAGGCTTTAGAGGGCTCCTCTTAGTGCGTTGCCAGCACACAGCTTTCTCTTGCATTGGAAGGTGATGGGGGTTTACTGTCAGATGCCCACAGGCATGAGCAAAGGTCATTTTCTGGTTCTTTGGAAAGTGCAGGAAATGGGAACTGCACTGTCCTATGTTTCTGCCTGGGACTGCAGGCCAGCCCAGACTGAGTATTGGCTGGAGGATCTGCTTTGGGAAGTCAGAACTTTTTATTTAAATAATGTCCAGCCTTGGTGATTCAGAGGGTGCAGATAATTCCCAAGAGCAGACATGAAGTGACCCCCACCTCACTCCCACCCCATCCGGCAGCTTAAGAACCAGAGAGTTATTTCTGTTCTTTTTAACAGAGGCTAGCTGTGGTCACCCGTGCCTCTTTCACATTCCTCTGAGGGTCTAGGAAGGGCCCCCTGTGCTCGGGACAAGGCTGTGTTTCCTGCTCACACTCATGTCCGTGCTCACATGTGCACCTGGAGCCTGCATGCACTGTGTCATGCAGGGCTTGCACTTGAGTCAAGGTGGGGCCCATGGTGTCTGGTTCCTGAAGCAGCCCAGGAGGGTCGGAGACCAGATCACCAAGGCCATTGTCCTGCCCCCGTGACTCTCACCCCGGCTGTGAAGCTGGAGGAGATGGATTTGGTGCTGTTTGAGTAGTGGGGTCTGCCATGTGCTGACTGTGGCTGGGGGTCCCTGCTCAGGGTTTAGTTCTTCCACGTGTTGTTGGCCCCTGTGTCTCCCTGATTCTCCCTCTCGCAAGCACTGCCCACAGCTGGGCTTCTGCTTGTTTCCTCTTCTCCTGTTGCTCCCTGGTCTGTGTGAGCCTAGATCCCAGGTATGGCCCTACCCTCCTCTTTGGAAGCAATTTATCCCACCACACAGAGAAACACAGGTTTCTCTGGTCCACCTTAGCCTTGTCCTCATTTGCTCCTAAACCCCTTCTCATCTTCTTAATATCAGTCATTCACTAGAGAAGGAAAAAAATCCTTGTTTTTATTTCCTGAAGGCTTTTTGAAAGCAAAGATGAGCATCCTTCCACGTGAGAAAGTCATGTTGGACATAGTTGTGATGTTTCACCAATACAGTGGATATGATGGTATGATTGACATGCCAGGTCTGGTGAACTTGATGAAGGAGAATTTCTCCAACTTCCTCCGTGGCTGTGTGGGTGGGGACTCTGCCTGTCCTGGCCTGGGAGGGCATTCATATTTGTGCAGGGCAATGAAGTAGTGATTCTTGGAGAGGTCCCGTGTGTTGTGACATGTCTGAGGAGTCATGTCTGGGAGCTGAATTCACTATTTTTATTGGGTAATTCTCAGTCTGATATGCCTCACTGATCCATCTGTCCCAGCCCTAGGCAGGACCAGCCCTGTGGAGAGACTAACCATTCAGGGGCTGGATACTGGAGCTGAGAATCAGACATGCTGGGCTCCTGTCCTGCCATTGGGCCCCCTGCCGTGTGACCTGGAGAGGTTGCACACATATTCTGGCCATTTATTTCTTCTGCCCAACGTAACCTCATCCCTCTGTGAGGGTCACTTCTCTGGGTTCAAGTGGAGCCTTGTCAAGATGGAACTCAATGGAAATGAGAATATTGATAACATGAGCACCATCCTTTACATTTGGCTGAGCTCATTCATATACTGGGTTTTATTTCACTGTTTGAATGCATCACTCTTATTAGCAAAACATAACAGAGAGAATAGAGCACTGTGTCCTAAAGAAAGGGAACCTGGCACTTAACAGTTGGAATGGGAAAGAAATGGAATGGGAGAAGAGTCGACATGTAAGAGAAGGAAGGCGGTCAGCCTGTGCTGGGCCCCTGGGGAGAATGGAGACAGCGCCTGTACAGGTGGGTAGGTGAGTGGTTCTGCGGGTCTGTGGCTGATGAAGGTTCCTCACTTTTTACCAGTGTGGTTCCTGGCGGAGCCTGCCGCAATCCCTGTGTTTTCCTCATGGAGTCACTCAATGGAGAACTCCTCAGGAACAACCCAGCATTGCTGCTCTCTGTCTTCCACCCACTCCTGTCCCACTTACCCGCTTGCCATGTTCATACCACAGGATTCCTCTTTCCTCTTTTTCCAATTCAAATCTCATTTTCCTTTCTTGTGTGTTTCTCTCCATGCAGGAAAAAAGCGACACAGATTACTTGTGCACTGCCTTTGAGAAAAAAGATGAGAATAAGGATAAGAAGATTAATTATTCTGAGTTTCTTTCCTTGCTGGGGGATGTAGCCATAGACTACCACAAGATAATGCATGGAGCGGTGCTCTGTTTCGGGGGGAAC